GATGTACAAAGGAAAGTAATTGAGCATCTTTGGGGCATATTCTTCCTTGTACACAGGTGGCTCTTGAAATTCGACATACTCCCCTCTTGAAGGCTTTGAATAAATTCATGACCTCTTACCAGGAAATGTGCTGGGGTTTTACACCAAATATTTATATCCTAACTGCTCACCTGACTCTATCTGATATCTTACAATGATATTTTTCTCATTTTCTTATCTTTTTTCACCCACTTATTTAAAATTCTCTTCCTTCCATTGAAAAGAATGTCATTTCATAAACCACCATAAAGAATTTACTTGTAAGTGGAATTTCAATAAATAAATGCCACGGAGAACAGTGAGGGAATAAGATTTAAATATACCCGGGCTCACTGTCTCCCCAGCCCTTTAGTCTTTTTACAGCTCTTCCTTAAAACTGAGGAACTTGGGACTCATGACTGAGAAAGGAATCACTAAAGGAAAAATATCCCCGAGTTTCTCTGAGTAATAACAACGTCAGCTACTATTTTACCAAGTTACAAATGATAGCATGTTAAACAAACAAAAAACCATCTCCTAGAAGATTACTGACATAAGGGAATCTGGGCCGTCTACTTAGCCTAGCATGTTACTTTATTATTTATATTTAGTTGATATAAATCATAGTTTAGCTGCCTCCCCACTAAATTATACATAACCATTTGTACAAGGACTTCACCAATAAAACAAAAATCCTCAAAGCTACCAAGGTCCTGCAGTCAAGTCCAATAATTTTTTGTACTGTTGCGTTCCTTTCTTTATTTTAATAACACCCCTGTCCTCCAACTCCTCATCTTTGAATCTGAACTCCCATGAATCCTCTTACACCGTGGTCTATCTGTCCTCACACTCACACCGTGGCTTATCTGTCCTCACACTCACTCTTGCATTCTGTGCTACTCACCGAGGAGCCGCTCGGTGTGAACGTGATGCTGGGTGCAGACGTCTCGGTCACCTGCCTTATCCTTACAGGTTGTTTCACTTCTCTCCCCGCACCCGAACCTTAACATGAGTATTTCCCCAACTTCTTCTCCCAGGTCTCTTCTCTCTGCCTCTCATGTTCTCTCTTGGAGGTTCTTTTCCTTCCACACCTTCCCTTCCCTGTCTCTAGCACAGCCACACCCCCTCCCTTGCCCCACACACCTGAACCCCAGCCCTCGCTGTTCATTGTCCAGCCAGATGCCAGGGCTAACCTCTGCCAGGGCCCTCCCAGGCTCCCCAGTGCCCCAGGACGACTGCTAACAGCATCCCCTGTGTGGGGATGCTTGTCCAACACTTCTAGCCAACTGCGAACAACTTTTTCTTATGACATAGCAGTAATTGTATTAGGTTGTTGGGAAAGCCACGAGTATTTTTTTTTTTTTTATGTTTTTCTATGTAAAAATGCGACATAAATTTCTTGACCACCCAGTATTTCACCTCTCCATCCTCCCTGACTCAGGCCTGGTTCCTTCCCCTCCCTCCTCACCCCTGCATGACTGCTAGTGCCCAGCCAGGCAGCACGCAGCAGGGAGAGTCCGTCTGTCCCCTCCACCCATTTGTCTGGTGCACTGTCACCAGATCAGTCCTTAACAAGCCTGCTATTCCCGTGTCACTTGGCTGCTCAGAAACCTTCTGAGGCTCCCCGTGGTTTCCAAGACAGTGTTGTAGTTACCTTTATATTTGGAATTGCTAAATGGATTTTTTGGCCTTTTGGTAAAATTGTTAAGCAAGTGCAGAATGCGGGGAGAAGGGAAAATTAACTTTCATATCTTTGATTCAAATTGTTTTTCAATAAGAGCCCACAAAGGGCAAATTCAGTCTAAGTCAGACTCATTTCATTTTAAAAACTCGCATTAGAAACAAGGCCAAAAAGGCCAGGTAGCAGCAGTCACCGTGGAATCGCACCCATAGGGAGCAGGCTTTGCAGTCTCGGAAGCGGCAGCAACCCCGAGCATGGCCTCGCAGCTCCACACCCTCCTGGGGGGGCAGTGGCAGCCTGTGCCACGTCCTCGCTCACGCCGGCTCTTGTCTGCCAGTCCGCACTTGCTCCACACCCAGGCCCCTCTTGTCACACTCGCTGTGCCACATGTAATTAAGTTCACGCCTCCCTCAGACGATCACAGCAGATGACTGGCTGGATCCCAGCCAGCTGGAAACACCCAGTGGGGACCCAATAAAGGAATCAGCGAGAAGGGGAAGGAGAACAGAGCAGAATGGTCCTCCGCACACCGTGACATGAACACCCGCGTCTCGTCAGTGTCATGGCACACGAGTCTTCAGTGAGCAATGGCGAGCGTACCCACAGGCGCACTCTAAGGAGGCAGGGGCTTGCTTTGTGTGTTAGAGCTCGGAGGAGGGCTGCTCACTAGAAAGCAGAACTTTGGGGTTGGAGGAATCTGGGTTTGAACTCTACCTCCCTCCATTATCAGCTGGGAAATTGTGGTTCTGTGACGCATTTCCCCAAGCCTCAGTTTCTTCATCTTTAAAGTGAGCACCACAAAATTTGCAGAGTTAGGCTGAGGAGTAAATGAAATTAAGAGTCTGCTGAAGTGGGGGCCAGCAGGTGGCATAGTAGTTAAGGCGCCGGACTCCCACATGGCAGTCGGCTGTTTGAGTCTCGATCTGGTGGCTTAAAACTCACATGCCCAAAATCCCAAAAGGAGGATGGAGGAAAAGGGATTGTGGTGTGGTCATCTTCCCTGGGGGGTGGGGGGTGGGGGGTGGAGTGGGCAGAGTGGGGTATGATTTCTCACTTTCTCTCTATCTCTCTGTCTCCAGCAAGCAAACTTACCGTATAGCAAAAATCTCTCTTAAAAACAAAACAAAACAAAAACAAAAAGTATGTTAAAGAAATGGTGACAACGTGTTGTTATTATATTATAAAACGTATTCTTGTCATTGTGCTTCATAAGAAAAACAAATCTAGTTCTCAACAGAGAACAGTGAAGGGGGGACTTCTCACTTATCTGAGACGCTTATCTTCCTCACTTCATGGGCCTTGGTGCATGTTTTCTTTTGCTACTATGAGAACTCATAGTTTCATTTTTATAAAAAGAGCTGCTTTGATGTGCACCAGATTCACTGGGATAATTCCCCCTGCATCTAACTGCAGGTGGTAGGTGCTACAAGGGGGTGATTTAGGGTTTCTTTTTCTTTATGGTCAAAGGCTGAGGAACCTACAAGCAGAAGTGTCTAGGCTTCTCAGTGTTCTGCTTTCGCTTTCCTTCATCTAAAGTATGCCATTTTTCTGGTTGTGATGCCAACTAAAGAAGAGGAAAGAAAACTGGAGGATGCATGTGAGTGCGCAGGTCCCCAAGCTTCAGCCCATGCCCGCGGCAGCCCCACAAGGCTAGATCTTCAGCTGGAGACTGTGCTAATCAGATGGAGACCAGGAGACAGGGCACCTCACTGCTGCTCAGCCTAAAGCACAAGCCAACGCTCATTTCAGATGAAACCAAATGCCCACTTGGAGAACACTGCAACGCATGGACAGACTCACTGCTAACTTTGACCCTGGACAAGAGCAAGACAATAAATCCAATCAAAGGCTCTTCCAGCTTGCTACTCTTCTCTGTCTGTGAAGGAAGGGAGCTCTGAGGGCCTCGAGTGTTGCTCTGCATTGAGAATGACCCAAAAAATGAATATTTGATGTAAGTAAATACAAGCCTGTTAGTGATTTTCTGTTGCTCAAATTCCATACATGGGTAATGCTCGGGAATTTTATTATTTTCTCGGCTAGGCCAGTATTGGTGTAGGTGAAAGTACACATCCTGGGGAAAGAAATGTGCTGGGTCATAATAATTATAAATACCAGTGTCTCCACCCGAGAGCATAATGAAAGCGTTTTTCAGCTACTGAACAGCCAGACTAAAAATGGATGTTTTTCTGAGGCTAAGAGAAAGTGTAATGTGTCATAATGACAGCCCAGTTCTACAGCTGTCACTCAAGCTTTGTACTCAGAGTGTAGGACTGAGGAGCCGATGATTTTCCCTTTAGAAAACACAGTGATAATTACATGATGGGGATTCTCCATTCCAGCAGCGTCTTTTATTTTAAGATCTCTGTGTACTTCAGAAGCATTCATCAATCAGGCCTCTAAAGCACAACTTAATACATGCACTTGTCATGGGAATTTGTCAAAAAAGGCTACTTATGATTTGTTAGAGGCCAAAGTAAAAAACCGAATTCAGGACTTCTAAATTCCTATACTTATTTTCATGTCAGCATCATTGTTATGGTGATGGCACTGTTAAATCACAGACTTATGGTTCAACCTAGTTTAAATCAACTCTCGGCCCACTTTGGGAGGCCTGAGTATGGAACTCTTAAGAGCCCAAAATAAGAAGGCTGCTGACACTAAAGTTAGAGGACAGTCATAGGGGCCAGGTGGTGGTGCAGCGGCAGTTGGAGAGGTCCTGGGTTCATGTCCTGAGAACTCCTTGGCCATGTGGGGTTGGCGTGCCTGTGCTCACACTCCAGGCTGGCTGAGAATGGAGAAGTGTGGAACGAGGACCTTGTTGGGGGTGGCTGTCTCTCTCTTTTTCTTATGGAAGAAATTAAGTAATTTTAAAAAGAGAGTTACAAAAAGAAGAATCTGTGGGTGAGAATGAAGTGCTAGGTGCAGGCGGGAGTCACAGGTCAGTTTTCAGCGACTATCCAATCTTCTGTACTGTGAACTCTATACCGAAGCAGGCTGGGTCCCCGAGCCAGGCCGCATGAGATGGATGTCTCTCTGCATGACCCATGGATCACATTTCTGGCCATTTTTTCCCCCAGGAAATATGGCCACACATCCACTTGTGAGATTGCTGGGCTTTTACCCATACAAAAGAATCTGTAAAAGTGTCTGGAGCTCGGAAGATAAAGAGAAGTAAAACTTGACCTTTGGCCGGTCTGGGGAAAACGTGTATCAGAAGCAGGGCACTCAAGACGAAGGCGCGCTGGGTTTAGTGAATGTAGTGGGCCGTTTCCCTCAGGTCAGCCGGGCCGAGCACCCTTACCTCATGTTCTCCTTCCTGTGTACAGTCACATACATTTCGTAGACTCTTCCTTGGGGAATGGCGCCA